TGTTTATCATTTTTATAAAGCTACATAATAAATAAATACTGTGCACTTTGTTATATTTTCCCCACACAGAAACAGCAACCCAGAAACTTCAGCTTCAGTATGCAAGTGATGGCTTAACCTATTTTGGTTGAAATTTTCGAACCAGCTCTATTATCTAAGAGACACAGAAAGGAAGACATTTACCCAAAGTCACAAAGCAAATCAGCGACAGCTCCATGACTGGAATCCAGCTCTCTTAATGCCTACCTCTGTTCTAACTATTAGATGACATTGTTGCCTTTAAATGCTCCCTTTCCTTCAGCTATTTTCAGGGACACCCTTAAGGTTACAGTAGCTCCTTGCTTCCTGTCACTTTCACTGACATACAGAACATGTTCAGTCTCCTGGTGTATCCATTGGTAGGTGCCCTCTAGAGATTTGAAATGTATAAAAGGAATATAATCACATTTCGTTTAATGGAAAGGAAGCCAACTGTACAAGGCAAAGCATTTAATAATGGTCCACAGACTTTTCAGCTCTGGCTAATGCCTTCAAAGTACATTCCAGGTAAAAGCTCTTTTCTTAAAATGACCTAGTGACTCAAAGGGCAGTGAGGCAGGAACAGAGAGAGGAAACAAGCTAACAGACCTGAGTTAAAGAGCCCCTCAAGAGAAAGACACCGTGGAGAAACAGCAAAATAATTATTTCAGGTGTGTTCTTCAAAAGTGTCTGAGTGACACAGAAGCGTGTCTCTGAAAATCATTGCAGTCTGCTCTGAAATAACAAACATGAAGCTGGGAATGAGATCCAGCTCAACAAGACAATCTGAAGGCCAAGAAGCTTGCACAACACAGTCAGCATGAGCTGAAAGTGGCCATATCCAATGATGATACATCATTCCTCAAGAGTATTAATATTTGTTCCTAGAAGGGGAACAAGTTAAACAGCACAGTATTACATCCTCAGTGCTACCCATACTACTCTTTTTATTGTCTCTCCTGCAGGGCCAGTTCTCTGCTTGTGTAGCACCACTAACTTCAAGTGAAGTCAGAATTTAGATTGTAAGGTCTTCTTGGGGGGTATCACTAATGTCTTTATGTTTTATAAACTTGAGCACATTCTCAGAGCTCAATAATGCAATAACAACCTGGATATGCCAGGGATGCAGAGACAGAAGTTTTTGGACCACAAGCCTTGGAGTTATTGGTGAGTAGGCCAGGTAAGATGAGAGGCAGAGCTTTATTCATCTGTTTGCTGTACAATACAATTATCCGGAATTTCAAGGAAGCTTCAGGCTAGAACTCAGCAACAGCCACTACCATCAGTGCTAGAGGAGAATCACCCTTCGGCTTTAGCTATGTAGAGTCTGTCAACCAGGGGAGCTATTCTAGTTCTATCCAATAGAAGGCTGCAATCTCTCTCACATTTTGACACAAAGACAGCACATTACATGTTCATATATACATACATTGTATTTTGTCTTCTCCTTGAACACCCCTTTATTCAGTAAGTATTGCAGCTTGAGCTGCTGTGGGGCTTTTCTTGAAAAGAAGGTATCAGTAAAATCCTTAGCTGACAGAATATCATAACCCCTAGGATTTGGCTGCAGATCACACATTTGTTAATTATTGTTAACCTTTTTTTAAAATCAACTCAATTATATTATTTTGGGATTCCTCCTCTATGGTGGGAAATTTACCTGTATCACAAGAAGCTGCCAGTAGTTTCTGATACAATATTTGGCTGCTATCCTCACAGCTGGAAGTAGGTTGCTGAGTGACCAATCCACTTGTGGTTGTTGTCAGTTGGTGGAGCACATATGTGCATGCTCTCTGTCTGCTGTCCCAGCTCTGCAGATCATGATAATACAAGATCTTAGAACCTCTGACAGGTGATCCTGACTGGTTTGGCCGGGAGACTATCAAGCGCTGGCACTGCAGCTGCCCCTCCTACCACTGCCCAGCTGCTCCTGCCCAGAGCCTCAGAGCTGCCCCTGGGAGCTTCTTGCTTGTTGTGCAGGGTGGAGGAAACAGAGGCAGGGGGCATTGATGTCACTCTGTTCCCCTCCCCTGTACCCCATATTCAGAGAGTGAGGAGAGCGGGTCCTCAGCAAAAAGGTGGAGCAGGGGTATTTGGGTTTGAGGTAGATACTGGACTGACAAATTCAAAAAGTGATCTTGTGCTTAAAAAGGTTGGAGACCACTGCAATAACTCCATGGTGGGGTAGGCCTGTGCTAGGAATGTGTTTACATGGATACCCAGTGCCTCATGCTTCTTTGGAGTGCCTGTGTTTTAGCAACATTGGCAACCTTATTGCCAAGTTCATGTATCGGATAGTGAACTTGTAAGCATCTGCTTTGACACAGAACCTGACTTTGGTTCACAGCAAGGTCTCACTTTGGCTCAGGCCTCAGGTCTGGCACAGAACCAGTGCTTCAGACTCTTGTTCGTGCTCTCTCTACTACGGTAGTCAACAGGATTCTAGGAAATGCTTTTAGTCTGCTCATGGGTGGCAGGTATATAGGCCAAGGAGGCTAAGCCTCCTCTGGTACAGTCACTGCCACCCCCACTACCAGACTCCTGGGCTGTGATGGCCCCACCTCTTCCATTCCTCAGTGGGAGCGGGCTTCTGCTGGAAGTATTTGCTTATTTACTATGCACTCTGCAGATTGCTCAGTCCCCACTCAACTTACTAAGTTCAGTGCTTGGGAATCCAACTCCATTTTTTTTCACAGTCTGCATTCTATTCTAGCCTGAGATTATGGCCCCACATTTTCAGCTGGACCTAGCAGACACATTGGAAAGCTTTTAACATTTCTTCTAAGGCAGGATGGTTGAGACCACTGACCTCACCCCAGACTTAGGACATGCAGTAAATGGTATTGGCATCTGTTCCAGCCCCTCATTCCCGGTATGAACACAGAAAAGATCAAAAGGATTTTACAAGAGTGCAGACAGATGTTTCCTAAGTGATGAGTTTCACAGCTCAAGAAAGTCCCACTACAGCAAGGGCACCCACCTTCAGGATTTCAGCTTTTCTTTTCAGCCTTCACCTTTCTTGGGCAGAAACCAGCATCCTTCTCTCTCCTGACCAGTTTTTTCCAGGCTACACAGTTCCCAGCCTATATTGTGAATTCCCTAGCAAGTCAGATTGCCTACAAAAAAGTGGGGGTAACTTAAAGCACTGGGCACATTGTTCCTAGGAAGATGTGAAGCAGGCCTGTAGAGGCAACCATATTTATTCTTAAGGTAAAAGCATTCCTGAGAAAACATTTTAAAAGCAACCAAAGAATCTACATGCATGCTAATAAGCTTATCAAAGCTCCCCACCATCCACCCAAGGGTTTTGGTAGGTGTCAACCCTCCCACCCTTCCCTAAGGACTGGAGTGCTTGCTTAGATATTAATGTCAGAAGGGACCACTGTGAACATTTAGTCTAACCTCCAGGACATTGCAGACCAAAGAATCTCAGCCATTCCCAAAATAGACACCCCCTAACCTCTGGCTGAGTTACTGAAGTCCTCAAGTTATGGTTTAAAAAGACTTCAAGTTAGAGAGAATCCACCATTTACATAAGTTTAAACTTGCAAGTGACCCCCATGCTGCAGAGGAAGGTGAAAACCCCCGACAGTCTCAAGAGAAAAATTCCTTCCCAACCAACCAAATATGGTAAACAGACCCTGAGCATGTGGGTAAAACCCACCGGGCAGATACCTGGGAAAGAATTCTCTGTAGCAACTCAGAGCCCTCTCCATCTAGTGTCCTATGTCTATAGCCACTGGGGATTTGGGTACAGGAGGTCCTGTCCATTTGCTGGATAAGGCTATTTATCCACAGTCCTTCCTTTCTCTGGAGAATTCAATGTGAAGTAGTATAGACAAGCCTCTTCAGGAGGTAGTATCATTATGGAGGTGTTGCAACTTGAATGAATTTTCCTAATCACCACTCACCGATCTTAGTTCCTGGAAAGCCCATGGTCCTGAAAAGACATACAAACCATGGTCCATAAGGATACATAAACCTAATATAATAAGATCTCCCACAGATGCTGCAGGAAATTGGTGCATCAGTCACAATGATTTCTTTCCTTCTCCCAGCAGCATCTTTGGAGATACTAATGTAACCCTCTGTGATGGACAGGAGGAGTGCTGACCAGCACTCCTCCTATCCATCACACACACACCAAATCACAGATGGTGCTAGACATGCTGGCCCATACTGGCTGTGATTTCTTCCTAGAGGTTTAGGAGAGAACATAGTTAATAATATACATGCACACACTAAATTCACTACTGAATACACAAAGAACTAAACAAGATTCCCCACATGCATGGAATACATGACATTGATATAAGGAGTTTTAATTGCCTTAGTCTGGGAAATCTTCCATGGGAGGTGAATCAGCCACTTAGTTAGAAGCTCCTGAGATGTGTTGTAAGTCAAAGTCTTGGAGAGCCAAACTCCACCGAAGGAGTTTCTTGTTAGTCTCTTTGACTGTGAGAAGCCATTTTAGAATGGTCAGTCTAGCTTCCCTAGAGCGTACATAATGGTGTAGGTTTGACTGTGAGAAGCCATTTTAAAATGGTCAGTCTAGCTTCCCTAGAGCGTACATAATGGTGTAGCATTCCTTCTCGGAGACAGACTAGTGGCTTTCCCTCTCAGAGAGTCTTTTTTCTGAGGAACACAACAGGGTGGAATTTTTGATCTGGCCTTGTTTGCATCAAAACTGCCCACACACCACACTCTGACATGTCCGTGGTGACAAAGAAAAGTTTGTCATAGTCTGGGGCCCTTAGGACAGGGTCAGATGTAAGAGCAGCTTTAAACTGCTTAATAGCTTCCTGACACTTCTCAGTCTACTTAACTGTGTTTGGTTGCTTTTTTCTGGTTGTTGGTGCAGTGATCTGACTGTAGTGCAGTATAAATCACCTGTAATTTTCTGCCAAGCCTAAGAATGATTGGATCTAGTTTGTTTGTTTGTTTGTTTGTTTTTGTTGGTGGTGCATATTTACACATGCTAACGTGCACATAAAAACAATCCACACGTGGATGGAAAAGATTAGAGGGACCATTGTTTATCTTTCTAAAATCAGTGTTTGCTAGCTGTAGTCTAGCTTTAACAGTCAGCCCTGCCTCCCTTTTGTGCTGGTGGAAGACATGGTGGCAAGGAAAAGCCAGCAAATGTGACCCAAGTGCATTATAAAGGCTCAGAGCTAGAAGGTGAATAAAAAGAACCAAAGTTAACAATCATGAATGGTAGGGGATTAAAATCAATCTTATGACTTTAGGGGGCCTGTTTGGAATGGACAATAATGAGCATTTTTCCACAGGGGCTGCCATGTTGTGGCCAGAATGAGCTCTTATTTTGTAAATAGAATTAAATTCTCCAGATCCTGGATCTGATCTGGGGTGGTGAGAATGAAAACGGGATGGAATTTGGAGATGTTGTAGGAGAAAGACAGGAGAGATAGGTAAACTGCGGATTGGTTTGGTGAAGGTTGTTTAGGATCTGGGGCACAATCCCCAGGGCCATAAAAAGGGATCATTTCAGGAAAGCTGCTTTCTGTATGTGTGGCCATTTCCTTTCCAGGATGATAAATAAATTCATGGGGGGAGGGGAGGTATGTGACAGGGTCAGAACAGAAGGCTATACAAAAAGTAGTGGAGGGGAGATTTATAAGCCTCAGACTGAGGAGATCTTTGTTCCTAGAGTAACAGGGAGGGGTTGGTTTAGAACCAGTAGAGGCAATCAGGGGCAGTGGGACACCTGGGCCTAATTGACCAGGCCTGAAGAGTCAGGCCAGCATAGCGTAAGTAGGATATCTGGGGGTAATTAAGAAAACCAGTTCAGATTGGTTACAAAAGAAGCTTTGCCTGCAGTTGGGGCATGTGTGTAGCTGAGAGGATGGAAGAGGACACCACTAGAAGTAGGAGGAAAGGAGACAACAACTGAACACTATGAGGATGAACTGGAGAGAAGGAAGGTGCTGGAGAAGTAGCCCAGGGGCTTGGAGCTGTCTCATAGCAGGTGGTAGGGATTCACACAGGCAGCTATGATTACAGGGAACTGGGCTGGAACAGGGAGTAGAGGGGAGACCCTGGTTTTCCCCCACACCCACCTCCCCATTTCCAGTTGGAGATAAAGGATTGTGGAGTTTATTCTCCATTTTACTATACGCTGGCCAATAATGAAAAGAGTTCAGCAAACTAAAGCCATAGGCATGGTGCCTAAAACTATGGGCTGTTGTGAGCCACTGAGGCAAACAAAATCTGCCAGAACCCACTGAGTTTTCATAGGAGCTTTGTCAGAATATTCATAGGGCCATCTGGAGCAATCCTCCTGCCTCTTCCCACCCCCACTGCACCCCTTTCCCCAAGTCTCTTCCCTGTGTGATGCAAGCCAGAGGCTTGAGCATGGGGCGGCAGCAGGGGTCAGGTTCCCTCGCACTCACCACAGTGGCAGGACAGGGAACTACCCGGTAGCTGCACCACTCCACCCTGCCACCCATCTCCCAGCACAGTGCGCTCTGCTTCACTTGGCGGTAGGAAGCAGAGTGCCCCAGCCCTGTCCCCCCGAGCAGGTCGGGTCCAGAGTGATCTGCTTTCCATTGCTGCAGTGAAGCAGAGCACAACAGGCTGGGAGATGGGTGGTGGGGGAAGAGCAAAGCCCTACTGAGTAGCTGCAGCTCCCGCTACTACGGTGAGTGCAGGGAGGCCTGACCCCTGCTGCTGTACCATGCTTGGCCTCCTCCTCAGACCTCCCTGGGCCCCAAGGCTAACACAGGGGACTGTGCTATCCAAAGAATGTTTGAGGCTGCCGCCCTAGGACACCCCAAAGCATAGGGCTGGGGCAGCTACCCCAAACCTTCTTATGGATGGGACAGCTCTGCATAGAAATCAGATGTTCTTTGTAGAAGAAACATCTTAAGCAATTTTTGAAAGATCTGGAATAATCTCTCAATCAGTCACGGGGGCAAACAGTTCTTTTAGGATGGAGACTTGACAAATTTGTAAACAGGATAATGAGAAAATTTGCCCTGCAAAAACCAGAGGGCTAGACTTGTTGTGGGTGACCCCTTCAAGTTCTATGTTCTGTGCACACAGACAAAACAAAATTATTGAGGTCTCTGAATAAACCATAAGAACAGCCATACTGGGTCAGAAAAATGGTCCACCTAGCTCAGTATCCTGTCTTCTGACAGTGGCCAATGCCAGATGCCCCAGAAGGAGTGAACAGAACACGTAATCATCAACTGATCTATCCCGTCACCCATTCCCAGCTTTTGACAAACAGAGGCTAGAACAACCATTCTGGCTAATAAATATTGATGGACCTAGCCTCCATGAATGTATCTTGTAATTTTTTGAACCCTGTTCAAGTCCTGGTCTTCACGACATCCTCTAGCAAGGAGTTCCAGAGGTTGACTGTAGCTGCGTGAAGAAATACTGCATCCTTTTGTTTGTTTTAAACTTGCTGCCTGTGAAGAAATACTGCATCCTTTTCTTTGTTTTAAACTTGCTGCCAATTAATTTCGTTTGGTGACCCCTAGTTCTTATGTTATGGGAATAAGCAAAAACTGTTCTTTATTCACTTTCTCCATACCTGTCATGATTGTATAGACTTCTGTCATACCCACCTCAGTCTCCTCTTTTCTAAACCGAAAAGGCCCAGTCTTTTTAATCTCTCTTCATACGGCACCTGTTCCAAACTCCTAATCATTTGTGTTGCCTTTTTCTGAACCTTTTCCAATGCCATGGCGTGTCTCTCACATGAAGAATGGGGCTCGGACCGGTTCTGCTGGAAATCTGCTACGACAGTTAACACGAATCCCTCTGTAGCAGTCTCAGCAGAGGGATCACTGCCTGAATGGGGTCTGATGAACTCACTCTCATCTCTCCCCTAAAGGTGGTCCCTCCAGGCCAGAGGCTCATTAAAAGAGCAGTTTCCCTTGTCACATGGTGCTAGGTCTAGGGATGCTGGGGATGCTACCGCATTCCTGGACTTGAGGTAGGGATGTTAAATATCAGTTCGCTGAATAGTCGATTAACCTCATGAATTCTTAGTGGTTTCTTGACTATTCTATAGTCCCTGGGGCTGGGGCCGGCAGCCAGTGTGATACAGTCCCACTCCCGAGGAGCCCCCTGTCACTCTGCGCTGCTGCTTCTGAGTCAGAGGCAGCAGCATGAGGCACCAGGAGGGACCTAGTCTGCAAGGGGGGGCCAGTTTAAAAACCAGCTCCTTTCGCAGACCAGTTGCCTGTTGTCCTGTGCTGCTACCTCTGACACAGCAACCTCTGTCTGGGGGGGTCTGAGCTCCCGGACCCAGCATGAGCCAGAACTGAGCTGGGCTGCCTGCCCGCCTGGCTCCTAATACACTTTAAATGCAGAGCCACAGCAGGGGTAGGTTCCGGACCCGGTGAAAGCCAGGACCGGGCTGCTGGCCAGCCTGCTAAAAAATTTACTGGCAAGGGGCAGAGGAAATGCATGTAGTCTATAGCATTAACTGATGAGTTTTTGCTTTCTGGTTAATCGATACACTATTACATCCCTAGCTTGAAGTACAGTTTGGTTCAATAGTTCTCAGCCACTACCCAAGCTATAGCTGAAACAGAATACCAGTCTCCAGCACGATTACTTCTAGTTTTTAATTAAAAGGCAAACACCTGTTCTCTGGCTACAAATAATTTCTACTGCGGCTCTGCAGACAAGTTGGAAGTTGGAGATGGGGAGAGCTCCGGGGCAGAGAACATTGGAAATCCAGAGGTGACATAAGCTCATGCCATTGCCAGAAGCAAGGCCTCAAGAGGAATTTGACATAGCACTAGTCTCACCTGCATACAAAGCAGCCTCTCCCTTGCAGCTATTTCATTGTCAGAGGAGTTCCTTCTGCTGCCACGGTACTGAGGTGCTGTCAGCACACAGAGGAACTGCAGGGAATATTAAAATAAAAAAACCGTATTTTTTATTCAAATCTTAAGTGAGCCTTTAAGCACATCAAACCACCAAGGGAACCATCAAAGAGGTCAGGCACACTCTGCAGGCTTCCACAGCCCTTGTGCCTATTGTAATGTCACTCAAACCCCGTGGTTCCATCATGTCTATTGTCTTATAGCTCAGTCCTGTTGTAAAACCTCTCCGGGTTCTGTAATGTATCAGCTGAAACAGGGCGGAGGTTCTGGGAGAGAAAAGATCCATCACAGGGACCAGAGACAATCCCCTTCCAGACTAGCTCTCTTTTCAAATTCAACATCTACCAGTCCCCATGAATAATACAGTTTTGATTAAACTTCTTCAGGCCTTCAGCTCATCTTAGAGCCTCAGGCTAGGTTCACCTCCTTTCTCCTGCCTCCGCCCCATTCCACAGTCTCTCTGTTATAACTGAATACTTGACAGCTACCCTCCCTATCTGTCTCATCCTCAGGCGGAAAGAGATCTTATGAAATGTTCTTACCCTAGGACTTATCCCTGCTGCCTCCTTAGGCCACAGAGTGGAACGATTCAGTATCAAGGCCAATCGCAAATCCAGATGCATAATAAGAAGGGACAGAGATGTAGCAAGGAATAATCTTGTATCTAAAAGGTAAGGCCAACAGCTTCAGTGCTCTTTGCCAGCCATTATGTCGATGGGGAGATACAGGGCAACAATGATGACATATAAAATTTGAGCCACAGCAAGAGATTAAAATCAGAGCAAAAAAAAAGTGTCTGTAGATTTTCTTTTCCTTCTAAATATCCAAGGATTCTTCCTATGTCTTATAGGGCTCTGATGAGAAGTTTGTTTATATAAACTGCTGAGAACAATCCAAGGATGACAGCAGTGACACAGACAGATAATCTAAAGGGGACTGCATGCAAAGCTCTTAGTTTCTTCAGGCACTGGGAAGGCAGCTGTCTGACCAGTTCAGCATTATCTCTAGATTCCAGACATACCACAAGCCTTAGCTACATTATTATTCACCTCGTGGCCTAGGGCTATGCTCTATCACAGTTATAATCAATGATCTCTGCCCTTGATATCAGAGCATAGCCTTTGAGAAATAAACTACAATTACACCTTTTTATGCCTCCATACCTAGAATCAGAAGCTATCCTACCTCCCAGGGATATCAGCTGCTTACATCAGGTCTCAATTTGGCACTTAAATTCTTTCACCACCCCCTGAGCCATCCCAATTATTTCTCACTTAGCAAAAGCTTGAGGAAAATTTTCTTTTCTCGTGTACTTCCCAAAGGAGCCTCTTCGGTGGTTTCCCTTCTATCTTTTACCCATTTCAGAAGCACTGATACTTTTCTTTGAAATGCTCATTAATCATCCTTTTTCTAATCCCAAGTTTTCTCTCCTCATCCTTCCCTATTGCTACCAAAGCCTCTCTCAAAAACCAAAGGTACTTCCATTGCATTTCAGGAGACTGGCTTTGCTTCACCTACCAAAACAGATCATATGTGACTGACAGCATCCATTCCTCTACTGGAGAATTTTGCCAATATGGCAGCCCCTTTGGTTCAGTGCTAGGTCATTTGTTTTCTGGTCTCATCCTTGAGTATTACATCTAGGTACAAGATTTCCCCTTCATTGTTTGGGTCCTTTTGCACTTTGCCCCCAAACTCCAGAAGCAAAAGGCAGAATAGTTCAAAGTATTTTTGGAAAAAAGCAGTATGATGCATTCTTACCATATGAAGTACAGTCCATTAGTTGAAGTACAGTCCATTAGTAATTAAGAAGAATGTTAAACAGCATCCATTAGAAATAAATATTTCTAAATTATCAGGACCAGATAACTTCCACTCAAGAATCCTAGAAAAGCTGGCTGAGATCTCTGTCCATCCTACATTAATTTTTAATAAATCTTGGTGTACTGGGGAAATTGTAGAGGACTGGAAGAATGTCAATGTGCTAATATTCAAAAAGAACAAAGGATATCTGGGTACAGTAGTTATGGGTTAGTTACTCTGGTATCAGTCTTGCACAAAACAATAGAATAGCTGATATGAGATTAAATGAAATAACAAATTAAAAGGATGAGAATATAATTAATACCAACTAACATGGTTTATGGAAAATAGTGTGACAGGTATGGTAATTTCCTGGACAAATCTTACTAGATTACTTTAAGTATATTAGTTATTAATTGTTTTTAAAATGTAAAATATATATGTATAATTGTGGCATTGTACGGAACTTCTTTAAGGGAAGGACAGGACTAATGTAAATCTTGAGAAGTGTTACAAACTTCAACAGACTCTTTTAAAACAAAGGGCCAGACAAGACTGTTCTTTTAGTTGAGTGGATTTTCTAAGAAATAGTTGAAAGGAGAGAAATGCAATTACCGAACTCCAGATGCATACTTTTGAAGTTATGCCTCGAGAAAATCAAACACTGAAACTGAATAAAAGAGTGACTTGACTTCATGGATGTGTTTGTTCTGAGCCCCAGTAACTGTGAACTTATAGCTGCAGGGAAAAAAGCCTTAGAGATGTGAAGGTCTGGTCACCTTCTAGAGCCTTTGTTGTAGTTTGGATGATCTCTGGTAAGCTTTTCAGAAAGTATATAGTTTCTTTTGTTGTTTTGAATATTTTCTCTGTAGTGCTTTCATCTTAAGAATAAATGTGCTTGCTTAGAAAGAGCTGGGTGGTAACTGAACTATGGCATTTGTGCAGTTTATAGTCTGAAGAGAAAAGCAAAACAGGCTTAATGAGACAATTAGATTTACTGGGGATTTCATAGTGTAGGCAGAAAACTATGTAGTCTGATCAGGAGGGAGATGCATAACAGTCTTAGGAGAGGAGACTCCAAAGGCTAAGCTTGCTTAGCCTAATCAAAAGATAGTTGAAGGGAAATATGATTGCTGTCTATAAATACATCAGAAAGATAAATACCAGAGAGGAAGAGGATTTATTTAAATTAAGTTTAAACATGGACACAAGAACAAATGGATAGAAAACATATTTAGACTTGAAATTAGCAGAAGGTTTCTAACCATCAGAAGAGTGAAGTTTTAGTATAGCCTTTTAAGGGGAGCAGAGGGGCAAAAAACCTAACTGGCTTGAAGACTGAGCTTGATACATTTATGGAGTGAATGGTACAATGAGACTGCCTACAGCCACATTTAGACATACGTGCAATTGCTAGCAGCAAATATCTCTAACTGTTGGTGATGGGACACTAGACAGGGAGGGCTCTGGGTTACTACAGAGAATTCTTTCCTAGGCATCTGGCTGGTGGGTCTAGCCCACATGCTCAGGGTCTAACAAATCACCATATTTGGGGTCAGAAAGGAATTCTCTCCGGAGTCAGATTAGCAGAGATCCTGGGTGATTTTGCCTTCCTCTATGTGCATCATGGGATATGGATCACTTGCTGGTTTAAACTTATGTAAATGGTGGATTCTCAGTAATTTGAAGTGTATAAGCTTGTGGTGTCCAACACACTAGCCACATGTGGCTGGTTGAGAGTGGCTAGTTAGCTTGAACCATGTGGCTATTTGGCTGGTTGTGTGTGGCTACTGCTTCAGAACTGGTTGGACACCATGGCTATAAGCCATGATTTGAGGACTTCAGTAACTCAGCCAACTTAAGAGGTTAGGAATCTAAAACAGAGTGGGTGGGTGAGGCCTGTGTCTTTCAATGTGCAGATCAGACTAAAAGGTCCCTGCTGACCTTAAAGTCTATGTCTCTGCTCAAAAGAGATGACAACTGGGGAGCCAGAAGCCTAATAGTGGGTGCCCTGGATGGTCCAGGAGAGGGAAATACAGGTTCAGTTGCCCTGAACTGATATGTATGTATGCAGCTCAGCATCCCCAGCCACTCCACGGGGGGGAGAGGGGGGGCGATTGCTGGAACAGAAGCTGTGGGGGGCAGGAATAAGGTTTCCAACTCTCCCCAACCAGATGCCATTTCCACAAATGGCATCCAGTCTGTCCAGTCAGGAGAGTTGGCAACCCTAGGCAGGAGCAGGACCGAGAGGGAGACTCACTTGCATCCTCAGGGCAGCAGGCATGTGGGTGGTGGTGAGCAGCAGGAGTGTGGGCCAGAGGACTCAGAACAGAGGGCAGACACGCAGCCAGACGAAGAGAAGGGGCACTTTGAAGGGGAAACTGCCATTTCTCTCCAGCCATCAGCTGCACTGCTGCCCTGTCCTCTGGCCCACGCTCATGCCACTCACTGCTTCCCAGTGAGCAAGGGCTGGGCGCAACCTGCATGGGGACCCAGCTATGGGAAGGAAACGGGTGCTGGAGCTGGAACCTATAGCAAGGAAGGGACAGCCCCAAATTTCGTAGTGCCCCACACAGCTGCACATTATGTGTATTGGTAGGGACAGCCCTGAACTCAAGTTACTTGGTTGAAAACAGGGAACACTGGCTGAAATGTAATGTTCTGTGCTATACAGGAGATGAGATTAGATGATCTAATGGTGCCATTTGGCCTTAACAAAAATTCTATGAATCCACCAGTTCTATCTCCCTCTTCACCACCAAACTGCAGCCATCATCTATGTCCTCCAAATTTCATATACTTATTATCAAAATAGCAGTTGTTTGACTTGTCCAAATATTTTTTGCCTACCACTTTTCCCAAGCCTGTACATATCTCTCTTGCCTCTCCCATATTGCCAACATCAATCACCCTCTGAAGGAAATCCTCAAAAGTTGTTGTTAGTATTATTGGAGTCTATTGTGCTAAATACTATAAAGATGCCTCCAGCTCTCTTTCTCAGTTCTAATTCCCCAAATCTCCCAACTTCAGCCATTCATCTCATTTGTCCAGAAAATGGGGACATATCAGCCACTTCCAATTTGCAAAGCCTTTGCTCCTCTCCTATGCTTTGGAATCTCATAATAAATCATCTTCTTAATGTTTGATATTATACCATTTATAAAAATAACACAGTTGAATACGAGCCTCACATTCAGTTTAGAAATAAAAATGATTAAAGTATTTTTTATCTGGCCTATCCAATTCCTAAAGCTCAGTCATCTGAATACACAGCCAGAAAATTAGATCAGGCTGAATATTTCTATATGAAACCATTAAGAATTTCTCTTTTCATGACTCACAAACTTTGCCAGACATAGATACTGCTATACTGGATTAGACCAGGTACAGAGTAAGGTGTAAGAATATCCCAGTAGACAAATGTGGGATAATCCATACCCTGTATTAGGTCTAGATCTAATCACTAGTAGTTAGCCATTGGCTTACATATGAAACCATTAAGAAGCATGGGATTTAATTTCATTTCCAAAGGTTTTGTTAGTAGTCTATAACAAAGCTGGACAGTCTTCTTTTGGCTGCAATACCTTTGGGTGGCAAACTGTCAGGGATGGTGAGTGAGGCTATGTCTACACTGCAGAGTTTTTGTGAAAATTGTCCGTTTTTGCACAGAAACTCGCAGAGCGTCCACACTACAAGCATGTTTTTGTGCAAGAAAAAGTACAGTAGATCATCAGAAGACAGGGCTTTTTCATAGAATCATAGAACCATAGAGCTGGAAGAGACCTCAGAAGGTTATCAAGTCCAGCCCCCTGCAGGACCAATCCCAACTAAATCAACCCAGCCAGGGCTTTGTCAAGCCAAGACTTAAACACCTCTAGAAATGGATACTCCACTACTTCCCTAGGTAACCCATTCCAGTGCTTCACCACTCTCTTAGTGAAATAGTTTTTCCTAATATCCAACCTGGACCTCTCCCACCGCAACTTGAAACCATTGTTCCTTGTTCTGCCATCTGTCACTACTGAGAACAGCCTTTCTCCATCCTCTTTGGAACCTCCCTTCAGGAAGTTGAAGGCTGCTCCTCTCCTCATAGGTCATATGCCCAAGCCCCGTAATCATTTTGATTGCCCTCTGCTGGACCCTCTCCAATGAGACTACATCCTTTTTGTAGTGGGGGGCCCAGAACTGGACACAATACTCCAGATGTGGCCTCACCAGAGCCAAATAAAGGGGAATAATCACTTATCTCGATCTGCTGGCAATGCTCCTCCTAATGCACCGTAATATGCCATTAGCCTTCTTAGCTACAAGGGTACACTGTTGACTCATATCCAGCTTCTCATCCACTGTAAACCCCAGGTCCTTTTCTGCAGAACTACTACTTAGCTGGTTGGTCCCCAGCCTGTAACAATGCTTGGGATTCTTCCGTCCCAAGTGCAGAACTCTGCACTTGTCCTTGTTGAACCTCATCAGATTTCTTGTGGCCCAAGCCTCCAATTTGTCTAAGTCACTCTGGACCCTATCTCTGCCCTCAAGCATATCTACCTCTCCCCCTAGCTTAGTGTCATCTGCAAACTTGCTGAGGGTGCAATCCATCCCGGTCATTAATAAAGATATTGAACAAAACAGGTCCTAGAACCGAACCTTGGGCACTCCGCTAGAAACCAACCGCCATCCTGACATCGAGCTGTTGATCACTACCTGCTGGGCCCGGCCTTCTAGCCATCTTACCGTCCATTTATCCAATCCACATTCCCTTAACTTGCTGGCAAGAATATCATGGGAGACGTTTCAAAAGCCTTGCTAAAGTCAAGATATATCACATCCACTGACTTTCCCACATCTACAGAGCCGGTTACCTCATCATAGAAGCTAATCAGATTGGTCAGGCACAACTTGCCCTTTGTGAATCAATGCTGACTATTCCTGATCACTTTCCTCTCTTCCAAGTGCCTCAAAATGGATTCCTTAAGGATCCCTTCCATGATTTTTCCAGGAACTGAGGTAAGGCCTATGGTTCCCTGGATCGTCCTTCTTCCCTTTTTTGAAGATGGGCACTACATTTGCCTTTTTCCAATTATCCGGGATCTCTCCCGATCTCCACGACTTTTCAAAGATTATGGCCAAAGGCTCCTCAATGACATTTGCCAACTCCCTCAGTACCCTTGGATGCATTAAGTACGTACACAACTCC